GCTTAGATGTCTTGCTATCTACACTTGCAAATGACCAATCTCAGGTTGCTCAGAAAATTACAAGGCTGCTAATGCCGTCATACTTTCCCTCAAGAATGAACATTGAAGAGGCATGCAATCGTTGTGTTACACTTTTGAAAAGGTCTTCTGTAGCTGGTGCAAGATTCTGTGAATTTGCTGTGTCAGAAGGGGCACCTCTTAAGTCTCTTGTCAAACTTGTCGGAGTATTCATCAATTTGGTGTTGTCCCAAGATAAGCTGGGTGCGGATCAAGTAGAAGGTTTGCTTGGTGCTGTTGCCCACCTTTGTAATAGTATATCAACTGAGCCATGTTACAGGGATGCCCTTAAAGATTCTTTTGCCAGTAATACCGTGAAGAGCTTGTTTGCAGCTGCACCTACCAGGCGTGCTCAATCTTCTGTATTTGACATTGTTTCCACCCTTCGTCCTGATAATGTAGCTGGGCTTCTTGAAGATTGCATAGGCCTAGTCAGTAATTGTAGGGGATTATTTGAAGATGAGGAAAGGCAAGCCGAAGTGAGGTCTGCCCACAAGCTATTGCTGTGTTTTCATGCCTTTGATGATATATTTGAAGCTCTAACGACACTTTTGCAAAAAGTAGCCTATCGTTGCCATGTTAAGTTTGACACTGAGATACCCAAGCACAGTGTTACCTCTGCAAAAAGAAAGAAATCTAAATCCTCAGTCAAAATGTCTGCCAAGTGGAAATATGTTAGCGGGAAAAGATCATCCAGTTTTGAGGAGGATTATTCAACTGCTGCTGGAATAGCCTGGCAAATTAAAGACTTGCTTACTTCTGAGGACTCCAGGAAAGCCATTTTAGGGTCTCAACGTTTAGAGCGGTTATTTCTTGCTTTAAAGGTCATTTCTGAGGTCAGTATTGTGCAGAGCATATGCTGTGAATATATGGATGCATATCCTGTTTTGGCTTATACTGCTGTTGCTTTGCAAATGGCTCTTCAAAATACTGGCATGAGCAATACGAATGATTCTGGTTCCAAGAAGAATAATAGAACTGAATCTTCAAGATCAATTTCAGAGGTAAGTGGTATTCTTTTTGCTGTTTTAATCTTGAATTCCATACTCTTTATGGTACAAGCCGCTAATACCTATACTTATTGTATTTGACTTTTTGCTCCAACCACTGGTGGTTCTAATGTGGCACTTTTTTTCGTATTACTTTTTAAAGACTTGTTCTTATTGGAATTGCATGCCTGTTTATCATTTACTTGGATTCTTTAAGATCCTACATTGGAAAAGAAAAGGGTAGGCATGTGGATTATAAAGGGTTTGGGTACCATCCCTTGGCAAGTCGATTTTCCAAGGGCCCAGGTTGCTACCTCGAGAAAGGGCATGGAGGCCTAAGGGAAAAGGGAGCCGCATAGTCACCCAAGGGGTAAAGAGTCCAATGTAGATGTTGGCTGCGGAAGCGTGGTGGTGTGTTAGATCCTACATTGGAAAGGAAAAAGGTGGGCATGTGGATTATAAAGAGCTTGGACATCCTCCCTTGGCAAGCCGGTTTTTTAAGGAGGGTTCTACCCAAACCCATGAAAGACCTATGACCCAGCCCAATTCCTATCAAAGGGCCATTGTTTAGTCAATTCATATCAATTTGGGAGTGGGTTCCTGTCAGATTCTTTTGTTGTTTTTTCATTTTTCTGGTGTGTTTCCGCAAGAGAAAATAATGCTGATTTTTAGAAGTAGTGCATCAAAACTTGCTAGAATTAGTGTAAACCTTGCTTCGTTTAAAATAGTTACATTTTTTTTTTCGCAAGTACAAATTGGGTAATGAATTGAGTAAATTTTTGTCTTTAGATCACTTTTTAAAAAAAGGTTTTAAATAGTATCTTGACCTAATTTTAGTTAGTATTCAAAAATGCCAAAGGGCATTAACCCTGTATAACTCTATATGCTAAGAATTTTACACTTGGAGGTCCAAAGAAGTCTAGTCTAACCAGCATTAACTCTGCGTGACTCTCCTGAAATGCTGGTGGTTAGCTGAACTTTGGCAAAGTTACCGGTAGCTCATGTAGGTCTTATGCTAGTCTTGCTTGAAGCTTGTATAGGCTGGTTTATTAGTTTATATGATATTTGCAATATTCTCTGCAGAGTGAAACTAGGATTTCTAGTTATCATTGGGCCTACAATCTAGTCCTCCAGTCTCTCGTTAACCAAGTCATAGTGATAAATGCAGTTTGAGTTTAAGTCCAAATCGAGATTTTAAACTGGAGGGAGGCCTTTCCATTTTACATCTGCCACAATCACATTGTTATGAAATCAAATACTGGATCATAGGTTTTATCTTTGTAAGAAGCTGTGCTTTGAAACTGCAACCATTTGTTTGTCAGTATCATCATATCAACTACAGCTGTTAGATTGGCTATTGCGGAAAACTCTCACTGGAGGATGCCTGACTTTGACATCCTTTCTTTTTGCAGACAATGCTGGACCAGGCAATGGATCACCTGCTTAACTGTACAGACAAATTGTTTGGAGCAGGAGATTCTGGAAACAGTGGCAAATTATCTTCAAACTCTAATCATGACCAAAACAAGGTGGCTCAAAGTCGTACAGGAAAGGTCAGAGAAGAACCTCAAATGGACATTGATGGTAAGTAATTATAGTGACGGAAAATATTCTCAGATCAACAAATGCATGCAAAATCTTAGTTCTCAAGGTACCTTATGTTATCTACTGAGAAGTGCGTTTGACACCTAAGTTCAACTGTGGCTTGATACAAAAAGAAAACTTCTTTTATTTTACTTCCTCCTGTGATAGCTAAAGGTGGATTTTCAGCTAACATTGCTTGATATTGATTTAGACTTGTAGACATGCCCATTGACTTAGTATATACCATCTATTCTTTTTTTAAATATCATCTCATCCTGAGTGGTATACCGTCACTTTCTTCAAAAAGGTGTCTGTGGTCCAAACTGCTTTAAGCACTGGGATCACTTATATGTAAAGAATTAACAAGCAAGCTGTGGATGGAGCAGATAAGTAGTGTTTTAGTTTTGACAACACTAGAGCGACTATGTAATGATACTCTAAATTGCTTGCATCTCTGTCATGTACATGGGCTTGTATGGTTTGGAATGTCTTTTATTTGATTTGGCAAGAGAATAAGCTTTGATTTCCCCACTAGATTGCTAGCCAAGAGTGTTCATATAAGTCCATGATTCAGTTAATGATCTAGGAAAAATCATTAGCTTTTTCTTCTAAAAAAATGGTGTAAATGTGCTTCAAAGGAGTCCAGCTTTTCACTACTCAGTCGAAAAGGTAAAATCCAGGAGGTAGCCTTTGTCGATTCTGAAGAGGTGGTTTGTGGTTAGAGTACATTGGGAACCTTGTTGTTTGTCATCCATTTAACTTATTACCGTTTCAATTTTCCCAACCGTTGTACAATGTTCACGGAAGCGAAATGAGAAGTTTTAAACACCTGCTTTAGTAAAATTAAATCTTTTATCTATCAGCTTATAACATTTGTCCCTCAGTTTCTCTTTCTCCAACATTTGCAATTCTTAATTTCTTATAACTGAAAACTACAATTTTTGACCTTATGCAGGATCTGTCAGCGCCAGCCAAAGGATATCCTTGAATAACGTGAAGATTCTTACTGCAGTACTCAAGTTCATTGTTGATTCCACTGCAATGGGTTTTGTTTCTGACGTCCAAGGAAGGTGCTTAAAGTTTACATCAGGTTTTGTACGTTATGTTATCTCTGCTTTAGGGCAACAATCTATAGATAAGTTGCAGATTAAGGATGAGGATCTAAGAGAAATTGTTCAGTGTCTGAAGATCTCCTTCAGCTATGCAGCCAAATTAATCAATCTAGTCCTTAGAAATAGCAGTGAAGCTTCAAGACCTACTGCAGAAGTTTTTGATCTTGTGAATGACCTGTTTGATCTTATTAGCTCAATTCAGTTGCACATGGGTTCTGGTTATGCTGCACGTCTTATTGTAGCAGCAAAGGCTTGGTTGCCTGATTTGATTTTGGCATTAGGATCTTGGTGCATATTTAATCGGAGTGGAGCGGAAGGAATGTGCTTTACTGTATCTGATCATATCAAACTCCATTTCCCGTCATGGCTCTTGATTCTAGCAAAGATTGGGATGAATGAAATGAGTACAGTTAGTTTAGAAGAAGATGACACTGGATTTTCAGAACCAGAGGAATTTCCTGAACTGAAGAGACTTATGGAACTGATAGTTTCATTATTGAAAGGAAATCAGAGCATATTGGTATTGGATGCAATTGGGGTTACACTCTTGTCTGGCTGTGTAGTTGGGCTGGAAAGGAAGGACTTTGGGTTGGTATTGGGACTTCTACGCTTTGTGTGTGTGAAGTTAGTAGGACTTGATGACAGAGAGTGGAGTGGGCTTGACATGATGTTGGTTTCTCTGGCTGATATTTATCCTCTGATTGAGAAAGAAATTGAAGAACAATGTGATGAGGATGAAAAGCAGAAACTAAATAGTGCCAAGGCATTGCTTGAACCTATTTGGATGTATCATGTTTATGAAACTGAAAGGTTTTCTATGATGGAAGAAGAGATATAAGTAAATGGGGAATTTATATCTTAACTGTAAAGAAAAGTCCGTGTTTTTGTATCATTTGTATGTAGCCGAGGCAATGCATTTTTTTTTTTTTTCAATTTTGAAGTCTTTAAATGAAACCATAAATTGTTCATGACACGTTATTTCCATGATTATGGAATCCCCCGAGGTTAATCCAATAATTTTGAATCTTGAAATTTAGGACCATATTACATGTATACAGTTCAATTGCATAAATTTGGTTCTGAGATGGTCGTTAACCAAAAAATATATAATACACTATAAATTCTACAGTTGTTGCTCTTGATGTTGGAAGTTGAACTGTTCTAGGTCCAGCCACCAAGATATGCAAGTCCACTTAAATGAATGGACTAGTTAAAAAAAGCATTACTCAATACTTTCAAATGACAGAATTACAAGAAATTTAAGAAGGGGGAAAATCACCACTAGAAGGAAATAGTTACATTTAATCAAGGAGAGAATTCATTTGCTACAAAATTGAACTAGAAGATGCTGAAAAAATATTAGAGGCATCTTTATCTTGTCAGTGAGATACTACGTTCAGTTCAGTGCTAAGTAAATAAAATAATAATGAAAAAAAAAAAAGAGATCCCACAAACAATTTATGATGTTCCAGATTTACATGCACTTGATCAATTACAGACATGAAATCAGAAGAAAATCTACTGGTAAATTAATACACAATTAATCTGCCATTTTTGAGAAGAGGGATTTTCTTTGATAGGTTAAGAAACACAGGCCTCTTACTGTGATTTGAGGTTCACACAGGGATCTTCTTTAAGCCAGCTGCAATCGGCATGCCTAAGAATCCGATGAATAGGCAGACAAACCACTGTGAGAAAGTGAGAGGTGTTGTATTGGCAAAAGTGCCTAGGAACTCAACAATTATGATTTGGAAGATAACAGTGATGCCGAGGACGGCCACAAAAACATAGTTATCCAGTATGCCTTTGAAAACATTAATTTCCTCCATCTCACGCGAGCTTATCTCATTGAAAACCTGCAGAATGAAACCAGGGGATTCTATATAAGCTAGAAGTTTTCATGAGGTCAGAAGAGGAAACATCACTAAATTGAAATTCAAATCTTCTCATTGAAATTTTAGAATTGATTGAATATATATTTATATATATGTGATCTGAATTCTGACATGTTTAAGCCAAAAAGCAGAAATAACCATTCCAATTATGAGACAGTAAAAAATAAACTATATTTTTCTTTTATGGAAGTGTTTGTCAAAATATTTTAAACCTTACAATCCATCTAGATTATCATGTGATTACAGAGAACATCAGCTACTGAAAACCAGAGAACTGGATGACCTAAAGGAGTATAAATTCAACTGCAGGTGATACTTTGTATCCGAGAAGTGATGACTTCTTTTCCCCTTTTTCTTTCCCAAAAATTTTGTAAATACTATGCAAGTCAATAACCAAACCAGCAGCATTTTATGCATATGAAGAAGATAAGTCAATAGGCATGGAAGCCTAAAGTGGATAGAACTGGACTATATATTATCTATTTGATTATTTGGACTGACCAAATCAGCAAACCTTGTAAAAAAATTTCATGGAAAAATCTGAAAACGAATACAGTGGCTGATTTTCCGAAAGAATTAGTGTAACAATTACAGAGTTACTAAAACTTGTCTTATCGTCAATTACCAGTTAACATAAATCAGGCATGCAACTTGGAGACAATATGCAAAGAGTGCTAAAGAAATCTTTCAGAAAGGTTACCTGGCAAAAGACAAATGCATTGAATATAAGCGTGTTCAAGACTATATTAGAATCTGGGCCATCAAGAGAAAATATTGCTTTTCCCCTTGCCTGAAGCAGCCATATCACAGTGAACTGATAAATTGACTGCCCTAAGATATTCCTCCACATGACATTACTGATAAAATTTCCTCTCCTCCCAACTGGTGAACGCTTCATTAATTCATTAGTTGGAGGTTCTGTTGCAAGTGCAAGTGCTCCCAGTGTATCCATGATCATGTTGACCCACAATAGCTGAACAGCTGTGAGGGGAGCACTCCCTGAAGCATGGCTCAACACAAAAACATAAGCAGGAATGAGAAGTGGTTTCTTATGCAAAACAAAAAGTTGGAATATTTAAATTCAAGCTGAAAATATGCAATATTTATGTGTTTTCTCACCTGTCAAGCAAGCAGAAGAAAAATTAACAACTAGTGCAACAACATTAACCGTCAACTGGAACTGCACAAATTTTTGAATGTTTATGTAAACTGAACGTCCCCATTTGGCCACTGTTGCAATTGTAGAGAAATTATCATCCAGAATAATTACATCAGCACTCTCCTTAGCCACCTGATTTTTTGTGAATACCATTAGCATTAATTACCAGAATTCAAATTTTGATCTTTAATAAAAGTCTAAAGAGTTGATTCAACAAATAGGCTTGACAGAAAGTAAATAATTGTTCACTAGACAATTAACACATAAGGGTGTAGGGCCTGACTAATTATTGACCCAAAAAGTCTGAAATCTTAAATATAAATGGAGGAGCTTCTTTTGAGACTAATACTATATATATAACATTTTTCATACCACATTATGTCACAAAATATGATTGATTAATTTTAAATTAAAATTAAAATTTCACCCAATCATCATTTGCCATATAATATTGTATGAGAATATTATATGTATAGTATTATTCTTCTTTTGATCACAGTATGGTGGATGTGGATCAGAAATGGCTAACCAAATATAAACCAACAGATAAATGTGGGAGGAAAAAAAATATCTTAGTCAATCTTCAGTGAAATGAATATAAGATATTTTAGAATTTTTCTTTAGGAGCTAGAGAATAGGAAAAAAGAAAAAAAAGGAAGAAGATACATAGGCAATGAACCTTCAATCCAGCCAAATAAATAGGTCAGTATAACTGTACTTGGCCATCGATGTCTGTTCTTTCAGATAACAATAAAATCATGTTGCATTTAAAAGCATTTGTAACATACTGACCTCAGTTCCAGCAATGCCCATCGCTAGTCCAATATCTGCTTCATGAAGTGCTGGGGCATCATTCGTTCCATCACCAGTCACTGCCACCACTTCATCTAATGTAGTCAGCAAGTGCTTTACCAATGTATGCTTGTCTAGAGGTGAAGATCGAGCTATCACCTGCAAAAGCAAGTAGAATGTAAGTCAAAAGAGAGTATATAAAGTCTCCTCATTACCAGGTACTCAAGTTGGATCCAATTTTTTAGTAAATAGAATGAAGAAATCACCTGAATTTTGGGAATTAATTCAATCAATTCCTCCAAATTCTTCTCTCTGAAATCAGGACCTTCAATGGCTATACCATCATCAGTAAGAATCCCGCATTCCCTAGCTATAGCCTTTGCAGTGTTTATGTTGTCTCCAGTAACCATTCTAACAGTGATACCAGCTGAACGACAAACTGCAACAGACTCCTTGACACCAGGACGAACAGGATCCTTAATACCCACAATTCCAATACAAGTATACCCGGAAACTGGAATAGGATTATCTGGTAACAATCCATTCTCCAGTTCCATGTAGGCAAGACAGAGAGTTCGAAGAGCCTCATTAGCAAACTGATCAATTGTAGCTTTGAGATAGTTAATGGCCGCTTCATCAAGGGTAACAACTTCACCATTTGAATTGATTACTTTGTCACAGGAAGCCAAGACTATTTCTGAAGCACCTTTACAGTGGGCTCGTAAGCCTCCTTCAGGGAGCTCCACCACTACTCCCATCCGTTTCTTTGTAGAGTTGAACGGCTCAACTTTAACAAGCTTTGATGCTTGTCGTACTCCCTGGAAATCTCCACCAAGCGACAAGCCCAACTCCAATATAGCAGTCTCAGTGGGTGATCCTAATATCTCACGTTTCCCATCTTTGTTAACGACTACTTCACCCCCAGTGTTACTAAATATTGATTGTAGCACAAGTTTCGCTGCAGATTCAGGGAGTTCTGAGCGCAAGCTAGAAGCCCCATCAGTATTACTTATTTCCTTGACATTCATGCAGATGCACGTTTTCACGACAGTCATGTGATTAGTAGTTAGTGTGCCTGTTTTGTCACTACAAATACACGTAGCTGACCCCATTGTCTCACAAGCCGCCAGATGACGAACAAGTGCTTTGTCATTCATCATCTTCTTCATTGCAAAGGCAAGACTCAATGTCACAGCTAAAGGAAGCCCCTCTGGAACTGCAACAACGACAATTGTAACAGCAACAGCAAAGAATTCTAACATTTTCAAAGCTTCATCCCCAGACCAACTCCAGATGGTCCCCTCTTGCAGTTTATGACTAAATAGTCCTTGCACCAAAACTGCGAATGTCACTACGGCAAAGAAAAGGCCTGCCTTGCCAATAATAGTCGCAACTCCATTCAATTTCACCTGCAATGGAGTTTCATCATCTCCCCCTTCACTAAGAGTTGCCATCAGTTTACCCCATTGGGTTCTCATCCCAACAGTGGCGACCATCATCTTGCATGAGCCATCTTGAATCTTAGTTCCAGATAGCATAAAAGGATTTTCTGCATTCACCATTACTGGTTCACTCTCCCCAGTTAAACTTGATTCATCAATCGAGACAGAAAATCCTGAAACAAAAAGTCCATCCGCAGGGACCTGGTCTCCAATCCCCAGATGTACAATATCACCAGGAAGTAAATCATAGATAGACAATTTCTGTCTAAATCCATTTCTTGTTGCATGAATTATTATCTTCTTTTTCTCCTNCAGTTTATGACTAAATAGTCCTTGCACCAAAACTGCGAATGTCACTACGGCAAAGAAAAGGCCTGCCTTGCCAATAATAGTCGCAACTCCATTCAATTTCACCTGCAATGGAGTTTCATCATCTCCCCCTTCACTAAGAGTTGCCATCAGTTTACCCCATTGGGTTCTCATCCCAACAGTGGCGACCATCATCTTGCATGAGCCATCTTGAATCTTAGTTCCAGATAGCATAAAAGGATTTTCTGCATTCACCATTACTGGTTCACTCTCCCCAGTTAAACTTGATTCATCAATCGAGACAGAAAATCCTGAAACAAAAAGTCCATCCGCAGGGACCTGGTCTCCAATCCCCAGATGTACAATATCACCAGGAAGTAAATCATAGATAGACAATTTCTGTCTAAATCCATTTCTTGTTGCATGAATTATTATCTTCTTTTTCTCCTTGTCTAGATCCCTGAACTGTAGAGATTGGCGGTAATCACTTGTTGCTGTAACAAAGACAACCAACAAGATACTTGCAACAATTCCAAGGCCATCATGGGCCCCTTTAGGCCATCCTTCCATTGCTAACCCAACTATTAAAGACACAAAAGCACACACCCCAAGTATCATTAGTGTCATATCCTGAAGAGCTTCCCAGACAAATACCCAGAAACCCCGAGGTTCGCTCTCAGCAAATCTATTGATTCCATATATCTCTTGTCTGCGGTTGAACAGATCATTATCGGTAGTGAGTCCATCAGTTATTGATGTGGACAGTTTTTCTGCAATACCAGAGACCCCATTATGAAATTTCAGTTTCTTTACATCATGGCCTTCAACGATAGACCCTAACTCATCAGCACAAACTTGAAAGCCTGCAGCTTTGACTTCCTCAGGTACGGTGTAGTCACTTGGTGACACGCCTGTAAATATTCCATGAGAAAAGGTTAGCAAGAACATTACGATTTAGCAATGATAAGTTTATCTAAAATAGAGAAGAAGCTTACCCATAAGAAATTGAATTGCAGCTTTGGAAACCAGAACAGCAATCCGCAACTTCTCCTGCAAGGTAGAAAAACCAAAAATTAGGCTCTTTATATTAATATGCCATGTTGAATGTCATAAAACTGTCTACAGAAAGCAAAAGAAAATGTGGAGTTGATTCAGAAAAATAGAATATAAAAAATTAAGGACACAACCAATAAAATCAGCTAGAAACTAAAGAGCAACTCGGAAAAAGGTTAACAACCATGGGCGGAGCCACATGCAGGCATGGCCACCCTAAGCCTGTGAGTGGCACCTTATTGAAAGCATGATACACATAAGTAAATGATTTAATCTTCTTCCCAGAATAAGTTTTTAATCTAAAAGACTTTGGATTTTGTGTTCCAGTGACAACAAATGTTTCCCTCTAAGTTTTTTTTGCCCGCCTAATCCTCAAAGTCACGGAACCTCGAATATAAGCCCCTTGAGCTAATCTCAGTAGCTCAAGCCTAAAGGCTTGCATCCCGACCAACAATAAGGGGAGAGGTTTCCCTCTAAGTTTATATTTTTGCAAGAAAATAATTATTTTATATACTTTTGACATTTTTTTGTATTCATCATCTCCAATCTACAAGTGTAAAAATCATATCTTAATTTAAGTTGATTATGAAAAAGACAAATGTTGCAGAGTTTTTGAGTAGTGTTGTTTCAAGTGGTTTTTTTTTTTTTTTTTTTGAAGTATTAGTATTTTACTCCTGTCTTGTTTTATTTATATATTCATAAAGAAATCATGTCATAAAATATTAATATTTTATATATTTAAATTTCAAAACTCAGTTACCGATCAATGACATCAAAAATCAGAAACAAATTAAAAAAAAAAAAAAAAACTTGGAGAGACGTTATAGAATTCAGATGAGGCATACAAAAAATGTGTGATGAAAAATTTAAACATATAATCCTTAGGATTCATTAAAAATTAAAATTTTAAATTAGGGAATTACTCTTGGCATTTGCTGTAAGTAAGAATATGATAATACAAGTTAGGTAGCAAAGATATTCTGAAATTGCCCTTCTATTTTTATTTAACTTGTATCTGTTCTTCGATGAAAACTTGAATTAAAACACACAACTGAGTTATCACCAGTTCCATGGAAACTTGTGGCCATAACTTTAGGTAGAAGAAAACAGAGTTTCTTATAATCTTATTTCATTCCAACCTCCACGGAAAATGTAAAAACAAGTTTAGCTGAATCATATCTATGATGACGAAATGTTGCACGACTTGGTTTAAGAAGTTAGACTCGCTTCCCTTTTGATAAGAAAACTTAAAACTCGAGTAATTAACACTTGTGGTGAAGGAATCCACTTGGTTCGCTTTGTAGCTTTGCTAAGCATTTATACATAAGATGAACCATGATGCTAATTATGATAATTGTTCAAAGTCTAATTAAAGTAAATTAGGAAGATGATGAGTTATGTAGAAGCAAATCGCCATTAATTTAAGCAGCTAACTAACGGACCTGATTGGTTTTGCGCATAGCATCAGCCTCGTGACGTTTGGAGAGGTTGGCAGTGAATCGAAACCTTCGTTTGGGATTTTTGACAACTCCGCAGAGATTTCTCCATCTCTCCAACACCTCGGTGGACGAATGTTTTGATCTAACATCAAAGTTTTCTTGCAAATAGCTCTCCATTGATCAACTCGACGTAACAGTACTTCTTATTGCTTTCAAAAATTGACAACCAAATCTCTTGACAGTTTTGATTTGAAAACCCGCGTCTCTCTCATTCAAATACTAAAGCAGTAGTAATAACCAGGAAAAAGCTTGAGCAAGTAAAGGCAATTAAGAGGTTGCTGAATACGAAGCTTCACTCCGCGTCGTGGAAGCTGCCATAAAGAGCCGTATTTGTCAGACGAGAAAAGCAACTTTGTTTTATTGCCTTCGGACTTCTTGTATTAACTTGAGGTTTGGTATTAACAATAAATTCGAAACAATAGGGGAGGAGAAGAGTGAAGGAGATCCGAATTTTGATGCATATTTGAATAACTGAAATTTCATCGGTCCTGTTCTGATGGAACAGAACGGGTTAATCGGGGTCAAAGAACAGCAGCTTAATAAGTGCGTTTAAGATGAGCAGAAGAGTACATGAAATAAAGAGTTAAATAATGATGAAATAATATCGGAAAGAGTAAAGCCATTTGTACGTCTGTCGCTTTCGTAAGTTCGTTACGCGGTTGGAGTTAAAACTTCTTAGTCCTTCAAATTTGGCGAAATTTTTAATCCTCCAATTCTATAAAATCATTTGTTGATCCAAATTTTTGAGATAGTGGCCTTTATGTCTTACAACTAATATCACTAGTAATCTTCTCATCATTACACCAGAAAAAAAAACTTATCTCAAATGAATACCCAACATCTTCTTCCCTTAACTCTTCTCCTATATCAAACCTTATCATCAATTATAGTTGACGGGAATCCAATACAGAAAATACCTAAAAAAAAACTTAAACTTGATTAAAGCTCGAATACTCGAATTCGATTGAAGCTCGAATACTCGAATTCGATTGAAGCTCGAATACTCGAATTTGATTGAAACTCATATTCTCGAACTCAAATAAAACTTGACCAAAACTCAATTATACGAACTCATTCCAATTTCAGGTACTGAGTTTGACTTTGAACTCTATTTTTCAAGCTCAATCAGACTCAAACTCAAATTTGAATTTGGTATTGTAGCATTCGAGTCGAGTTCAATTAACCAGATACTCGACCTGATTCGATTTCACCCTTTCATGCCTCAGTTTTAAGTTAATGTCAGTTTATTTTTTAAGGGCTAAAATGTTACTTTTTAAAAGCTGAGGGCTGTATTTTACTAAATGGCAAGGGCTAAAAATGTTTTTAACTCTACACGGCTGCTACGCGGAAAGAGAAACAAAAGCAATTGTATGATTTGACCTCTACTTTTATTGCTTTTTAACTTAACTTATTAAGTCGCGTCTGGTAGACGTAGACTATTACCAAGCTTGAACTTAATGTTTTAATTAACCTTTTATATGAATCGCTGAATTTTGACATATTCAAGACGTTATTACAAAAAACACCTCGGATGCTTTTAGTCCCAGGAATTTTATATTATGAGAGATATATTATTTAAAGGTTATTGTGAATGTTAAGTAGACGTAATTGGTTAAACTGAAATTAGTTGGTGGATATATTAAAGTGATATATTTGATTAGGATAAGTAAATGAATGGATATGTTATATAGATGAATTGTTTTCTTTTTTAATATTATTATAATAATATTCTTATTATTATTTGAACTATTTTTTTAACCTTTTATATTTGAGATTTTGTTAAAAAACACCTCAACCATAATAAAAGTTTAAATTTTANGATGGAACAGAACGGGTTAATCGGGGTCAAAGAAGAGCAGCTTAACAAGTGGGTAAGAGTATATGAAATAAAGAGTTAAATAATGATGAAATAATATCGAAAAGAGTAAAGCCATTTTGTAAGAGTATATGAAATAAAGAGTTAAATAATGATGAAATAATATCGAAAAGAGTAAAGTACGTCTATCGCTTTTGCTACGCGGTTGGAATTAAAACATCTTAGTCCTTCAAATTTAGCGAAAAGTTTAAATCCTCCAATTCTCAAAGAACAAATATTGATCCAAATTTTTGAGATAGTGACCTTTACGTCTTACAACTAATATCATTAGTAACTATCAAAATGAGATCAAAAGACTAAAATACCCTCTAATGTTGTTTTTAATTTCTTATCATTACACCCAAAAAAAAACTTATCTCAAATGAATACCCGACATCTTCTTCCCTTGACTCTTCTTCTATATCAAACCTTATCATTAATTTTAGTTGACGTGAATCTAATACAGAAAATACCCAAAAAAAACTTGAACCTGATTAAAGCTTGAATACTCGAATTTGATTGAAACTCATATTCTCGAACTCGAATAAAAGTTAACCAAAGCTCAATTATACAAACTCATTCCAATTATAGGTACTGAGTTGGACTTTAAACTCTATTTCTCAAGTTTGATCAAACTCGAATTTTGTATTGTAGCGTTTGAGTCGAGTTTAATTAACTAGATACTTAACTTGACTCGATTTCACTCTTTCATGCCTCAGTTTTAAGTTAATGTCAGTTTATTTTTTAAGATAGATATTACTATTCCAAAAACTTCAAATGGAAATGTTACTTTTTAAAACCTGAGGGCTGTGTGTACTTTTACTAAATGGCAAGGGCTAAATGTTTAAAACTCTACACGGCTGCTACGCGGAAAGAGAAACAAAAGCATTGGTGATTGACCTCTACTTTTATTGCTTTTAACCTAACTTATTAAGCCGCGTTGGTAGACGTAGACTATTACCAAGCTTGAACTTAATGTTTAATTAACCTTTTATGAATCGCTGAATTTTGCATTCAAGCGTTATTACAAAAAACACCTCGGATGCTTTTAGTCCCAGGAATTTTATATTATGAGAGATATATTATTTAAAGGTTATTGTGAATGTTAAGTGACGAATTGGTTAAACTGAAATTAGGTGGATAATTAAGTGATATATTTGATTAGGATAAGTAAATGAATGGATATGTTTTAAGATGAATTGTTTTCTTTTTAATATTATTATAATAATATTCTTATTATTTTGAACTATTTTTTTACCTTTAATTTGAGATTTTGTTAAAAAACCCTCAACCATAATAAAATAAATTTTATAAAATTACCCCCACTTATCCAAGCCACTACCGGCCACCACCGTCAACAGCGGTTGAAAGTGGCCTTAACAGCATGTGACCGATCGAAAATGACTAGATCGTCATGGACTAGCCTAAAACGACCATAATAGATTGGTCTAAGACAGATGGTGTGTAGCCGTTAATGGCCACATAAGGGGTTGTTAGATTAGGTAGTCATGCGTCGTTTCGACATAGTCGTCGGCGTCTGGAGTTGACGGGCCGACCACCCCAGTGGTGGCTAGATCGACCATTTATCTTGGGTAATTCGGTGAAAGTGTAAGGGTAATAATGTCCTAAAAATATTGTATATAAGGTAAAATGTCCATGAATATTCTTGTAAATTGTTTTCAAAATAATGACATTATTGTCCAAAAACTTTAATAGTTAGGAGGAAAATTGTAACAAAATTAATATTACAAGTAATTTTAGAATACCTAAGAAATAATGATATTCAGATTATACATATATAACCTATTATGATTACTATTGATATTAAAAGACTACCAAAATCTTATATTATTAAACCAACATAAAATATCAGTATATAAGAAAACAATTTGAAGTAATGTGAATTGTGAATACCCGTAACCAAACGACCCTTCCAGCAAAGGCACTAATTCGTAAGTTTCTAGGTCTATAAGATTCTCCAAACATGGAAAATTTTCAAATTCAATAAATACTGTGATACAATTACAATTTAGGAAATTAAAGTTAGATCCCTTTTAGGGGTTTTTCTGTACTAAATCAGTGTGGCAGCCTAGTAGTTTTCGAAGACCCCGACGCAAGTGGAAAATAACTGTTGGGAACCTGCCATGCAGTTTCTTAGTATAATTAGAACAACATCCTGCTTCGAACAAATATTTAATTATCTATTTAAAGTTATAAACTTTTTTGATCTGTCTGCAATATTTAAAAATAAATCTTATATAGTGGACCCATATAAAATCATTAAACTAGAGGAAATTACCAACTAAGTTTGTCATCATAATAACAAATATTGAATGACCATAAATTTTCCACCAGTAAAAGGCCTTTTGTTTTATTCCTTTCTCGAAAAAGAAGGAAAATATAAGTTGATTCTAGAATGAAAACTAATTTCCCGACAGAAGATTAAAATGTAACAGATCAAACAAGAAATTTCAGTTGATGTACAATACAATCTTTAATACCTTGTCACAGCCGACTGCCAGTGTCAAAGCACAAGCATAATGAACAAATTTCTCATCAATTTAGCCATTCTTGCAAAGTGCATAATACAAACTCCAGTGAATTACTTGTATAAAAATCAAACTGAGGGTGATCGACAAATTTCCCACTCAACCAAAAACAATGAACTCCTAGGAGAACAGAATGTGCAAATGTAAAAATGCCTCCGCAAACTATTAAGGGAAATGGGACTGCAGCCTACGCATCAAAACAATTCATCCAGAGTCATCAAGAACCTAGAAACAAATATATCTGTGGAACTGCTTATTGACGACACTTCTTATGGAGTATCACCATTCAATGGGAAAAGGTATCAAATTCCAACAATAATCATTGACTGGTAGAGAACCATCAGGGTTTGAGGGCAATGGCCAGCCCAAACCTGGGATTTTTTTCCAATGCCTTGGTGTCAACCTCACTAGAGATTGTCAAAACAGACTTTGGTATGACCTCATGCTGCAGCAGTGCCCCAAGCTTTCCGTGGTTATTGAGCTTTGCCTTCACTACTGTCAGATGATCAATAGCATATGAGCCTCCAACTGTAAAAGTGTTCTCATTAGTGGAAAACCTTCTGGTTATCTCTCCCACAGTAGCACTTTTCTTCAACTGATCCAGATGATGTATATATGAAGCTCTTATGGTGTCTCCCTTGTCACCACTGAAGAACACAAAAAAGAGCACCCGTGTATCAAACAGCCTGTATATAAATTAACTTACAAACAAAATTGACTGATAGATGAATTAAAAAGCTTACAGAATTATTGAAGCACACGAATCTGGTTTGTTCACACTAATGCCAGCAGTGTACTTTGTAAAATTACCAGAGGTA